ACCCGTCGTTTTGTTTGCCTCCTGCACTCGGCTCTTTTATCTTCTTCCATCATATTACTTAATATCATATTATGCTGGAGCCTTCGTCTTCTGTGTTTCTCTGTACAGAACTCAAGCATAATCTTTAAACGCCGCCGTTCGTTCTCCGTTATTAAGGTCCCGGCAAGGCAGAATAGGAACATTGCAATAGCCTCCTCCATGCTGGATTGTTGTTGTTGTATGTGGCCGCAAGACCGTCGCCATGCTTGCGTTACCCCTCCTACCAGTTCCTATGGCCACTTGGCCATTGCGAACGCAAGCAGCAAAACCGAGTTTGGGGAAGAGTAGAACTGTTTAGAAGTGGACAGTTCCTATAAGTTCCTGTAACTACTTGGTCGGAAAGCGGCTAATGGAACAAGGAGGCGCAGGGGGACATTTTCCTGCATGAGTTGACTGACTGCGTCCAGAAGGAGTTCTACACCTTGGACCTCCCTCTCTTAATGGACTCAATGAGTTGGCCCTGCGGGTGGACACTCAACTTTCTAGAGCCGCACACTGGGAGGAGCCGAGGGTCCATGGTCCAGCGGCGGGGACGTGGTCAGCCCCGTCTACGATCATGAACCCATGCAGGTGGGACGAGCTCGTCTTTCCCGGAAGGAGAGGGAGAGGCGGAGATCCCTGGGCCTTTGTCTCTACTGTGGAGGAATGGGACATTACGCCTACAACTGCCCGGTAAAAGGTCAAACCCGATAGTAAGTATGAGGCTACTATCGGGTGGGATCTCCGCCGAGAAGACCTCATCCACATCTATGCTGCTCCCGGTAAGACTAAGATGCTCAGTCCACCAGCACAACTGTAAAGCACTTCTGAACTCCGGGGCTGAAGGTAATTTCATGGAACATACATTTGCAAACAAGTTTCAGATCCCCCTCAAACCCCTCACACATAAGATTGCAATACACGCACTGAAGGGTTCAAGAATGCCCCACCATTTCATTCACCACTGAAGACATCACCCTCACACCGAATACTGGATTCACCCCTTGCACCCATCGTTCTTGGACACCCCTGGCTCATCCGTCACAACCCTCGAGTGGACTGGCACCAAATACATGTGTTGGAGTGGAGCAAGGAATGTCATAAATCTTGTCTTGTGTCTGCTTGTTCGTCTGTGCCTGTTTCTGTGTTTCAGGAGGAAGCAGGGGATTTGTCTAATCTGCCCGTGGAGAACCTCGACCTGAAGGAAATTTTCAGTTAGTCTCGTGCTGCTTCTCTTCCTCCGCATCGTCCCTATGACTGTGCCATAAATTTACTAGCTAAGTCCGCTTAAAGGCAAGTTATACTCGCTTTCTGTTCCTAAAAGGGAGGCTATGGAAAAATACATTTCTGATTCTCTAGCAACCAAGTTCATTCGACCTTCCTCTTCTCCAGCGGGGTCAGGGTTCTTTTTTGTGGGGAAGAAGGATGGTTCTCTGCGACCTTGTATTGATTACCGGGGGTTGAACAGTATCACGGTAAAGAACACTTATCCTTTGATGTCTTCAGCTTTCGAGAGGTTGCAGGGAGCATCCATTTTTACAAAATTGGACTTGCGTAATGCTTATCATTTGATTCCCATTAGGGAGGGGGATGAGTGGAAGACTCCTTTTAAAGGGTTAGTTCACCCAAAAATGAAAATTAAGTCATTAATTACTCACCCCCATGCTGTACCAACCCCGTAAGACCTTTGTTCATCTTAGGAACACAAATGAAGATATTTTTGATTAAATTTGAGAGCTGTCTCACTACCACATTGGCTGCCTAAGGGACTGCCTCTTGACGGCCCAGAAAGTCAATGAAGAAAATGTTTAAATATTCCATGTGACTACAGTGGCTCAACTATAAGTTTATCAAGCGACGAGAATACTTTTTGTGCGAAAAAACAAACAAAAATAACGACTTTATTCGACTATTCCTTTTCTTCCTGGTTGGCCTGAAACGAGACTTCCTTAGATTTCCACGACGCATGCGTGAGAATTGTGATCTCCTTCAACTACTTCAGTTCAGTTCTCGCGCATGCGTCATGGAAATCTAAGGAAGTCTCGTTTCAGGCCAACAAGGAAGAAAAGGAATAGTCGAATAAAGTCGTTATTTTTGTTTGTTTTTTCACACAAAAAGTATTTTCGTCGCTTGATAAACTTATAGTTGAGCCACGGTAGTCACTTGAGATATTTAAACATTTTCTTCATTGACTTTCTGGGCCGTCAAGAGCCAGTCCCTTAGGCAGCCAATGTGGTACTGAGACAGCTCTCAAATTTAATCAAAAATATCTTCATTTGTGTTCCGAAGATGAACGAAAGTCTTACGGGGTTGGTACAGCATGGGGGTGAGTAATTAATGACTTAATTTTCATTTTTGGGTGAACTAACCCTTTAACACCCCCAGGGGGCACTTTGAATATTTGGTCATGCCGTTCAGGCTGTCCAACTCCCCAACGGTCTTCCAGGCACTCGTCAATGATGTGTTGCGAGACATGATAGACCAGTTCATGTCTACCTGGATGACATATCTTCTTCTCTTCAGGAACATGTGCAACACGTCCGATGAGTGCTTCAGAGGTTGCTAAAGAATGGTTGGTTTTGACCTGTTGACCGGGGGTGTGATCCGTCATTTTGTCAGTTGGTTTTGATCCGGGGTATGATACATAATTTTGACATTTTATTTTGATCTGTTGATATGATATGTCATTTTGACAGTTAGTTTTGACCTGTTGACTGGGGTTATGTTATAGTTTTCACACTTAGTTTTGTGTGAGGATGTGTTTCAAGAGGGTTATAGGATGTGTGTCACGCGATACCTCTCTCCCTCTGCATTTCTGAGGGCAAAAAAAGAAAAGATTTTTTTAATATTTTCTAACAATGTTGTATATCTCACTCAAAAATTGAAAAAGATTCTGTTCTATATAAATAAAATGCTTTTAAAATGTACATTAAATATATATATAGTCATTAAATATTCTACATCTGTGGAAAAAAACATGACTATATTTTTTATTTATCATGTAAAGAACTTTGAAATTTGGGGGTCTCACAAGTCATCTCACACGTTGTGTGAAATGTTAAATAATAAAAGTAGTATCTGTGAGAAAATCATCACATAGGCCTATCTTTAGTGAGAGAGCAACAATGAAGACATTTCGACAGCCCCATTGATATAACGTCCTTCCGATCCCCACCACATCTTCAGAGAAATACGTTACTTGACAATAATTTGAGCTTTCATTTGAGGGTATACGGTGACAGAGCAGATGAGCCTCTGACTGTTCATCATGTAATGTTAGTCTGTTTTTTCCTGAGCCAAAGTTTTGTTCGTACTAAATTTATTTTAAAGCATAATCATACAATTTTGAATATGATCTTTTAAAATTAAAAGACTGTTTAAATCTTTAAAGTTTTATTAAAATCTTCTATTTATCTTACAAGATATTCAACTTCTCTATTCTGTATGATAATGATTTGAATGAATTTAACCTAAGGTTAAATAGCCACTTTGCTACTATTTTCAGAACCTTGAAGTTATTTTTCAAAACTCTAAACACAAAACTCAAAACGGTTATCACTTGTAAAAAAGGCTGTCTAATGTTCAAAACATTGCATTGTGCATTCACAACTTTAAAGGGATAGTTCACTTTGAAATTAATTTTTGATATGTTTTAGCTTACCTCAAGGGCATTTAAGATGTAGGTGTCTTTGTTTCCACAGTATTTTCAATTTTGATATTTTTCGGTGAAACCGTTGTTGTCTATCAGTCATATAATGCAGGTTTAGGGGGTCCACCCTGGCTTCACCTCAAAGAGCATGCACAGAGAAGTCAAAATTAAACATGATTTAACGACTCGTCAATGTAAGTACACATTGATGGCCTAAGACACGAAACGAGCGGTTTGTGTGAGAAAACAAACAGTATTTATATCGTTTTTACCTTGTGTAATCACAGCCATGTCCAACTGATCTGAAGGCACTGGCGCTTCGGTCTGCGCATGCGCCGGAAGTGATCGCTTCTGTACGTCACTCATTGTTTACACAGAGATTTCGGAAGTTTTACCTTTCACTAAACATATTTAGATATATCGAAATCGTCTTCCATTGCGATTTCCTGTATATCTAAATATGTTTAGATCTTCACAGTGAAAAAAAATTATACAGGAATGGTGCAAGGAAAGGAGAGTTTTGAGCTGCTTTTTTTTTTTTGCTTTATGAAAATTGCTTTCATAATGAAGAGTAACAGGCTGTTCCCAAAGGAATCTGAAACACAAAAACAGACTAACCCACCCACACACACACACCCGCACAGACGCATACCGCATGCTTTAGTCAAGTCACCTTTATCGCTTTTTACAATACAGATTGTATCAAAGCAGCTTCACAGTGATAACATGAAAATAACACAACACAGATCAATAATATTGGTGAACATGTCTTTAGTCACTAATGTAGCCTATAACAAAAACATTTAATGAACATTATTTAAAGGTACATTAATATTTTATCCTAACTTTTCCAGCCAACAAAGTTCTGGCCATTAAGGATTGAACTAATTTATATATATATTTATAGCCATCTTGAAATATATATTTTAAATTAGTAATGTATGTAGGCTCTATGGGCAGTTGTGGCGGTTTCAGTCAGACTGAAAGTTGCGGTTTCAACATAGGCTAATAATAATTAATTACATTTTTATTTACATTGATTTTAATTTATATATTATATTTTAATTATATTACAAAATAAAAATACAATGAAATAATTAAATAAAATTAATATAAAAAACATTGAAACAAAAAAAACGCTATTTTTGAAATGCACGTGAAAATTGTGCATAACACAGCATATCTATCAACGAGGGTATTCAAAGAAACTGAATCACTGCAAATTCTGCAAGTAGGCCGATAAACTACACCCGAAAAATAAGAAACACAAAATTCTTCTTTCCCTGACTTTTATCTACATCACGAAACGGTAGGAAACCCTGCCCCCTATCAGCCGCCATTTTGGGGAAAGCAGGAAGTTGTCTTGTTGAGGGAGAAACCTCATGACAAACTGAGCGTCTTAATTATCCACAGATATAAACATCAATATCTCTTTTTCTTTGAATGATTGTTCGGTGTATGTGTTGCTTGTTTATAGGCGGATTTGACCGTTTGTTTTGCAGTTGTGTTGAGTGGTAAACTTCACACGCGCGTAGCAGAGGTCGCGACGATAACCGGAGTGCTAAATAAAACCAGGTAATTTGTTTTTGTCAAAAAGCAGTTCTTGGTCTAATTAGGAGTTTGGCTCAGATTTAAATGTTAATATTACATTATTTACAGTATGCTGTCTTTTGGGATATGAATGTGTGACGTTTAAATTAGCTGCTTATATAATGTTGTTGTTGTGTCTCGAGAACGTTTGCTGCAGAATCTAACGTTAGCGTGTTATTTAAAGAACAGCAGCACCACATCTCGACTGTAAGATGGTTTTATTTCGGGTTGTTTTGTCGAAGAGTAGTAAATACAAGCATAAACTATGACTCGTGTGGTTGGTTATGTTTCTAAACCGTATGTTGTTGTTTTTTTTTGCATTTTACAGCAGGTCAGAATGGCGGATGACTTCGATGTTGAGGCCATGCTGGAAGCTCCTTATAAGAAGGTGGGTTGATACACGGCCGGAAGTTGCCAGATTAAAATTTTCTGTAGGTTTTAAATGATTAACAATTTACCCAAAATGAAAAAGAAAAAAAAATCTGTCATTCTTTACTCACCCTCACGCTGTTCCAGTCCGTATGAGTTTCATTCTTATGAAGAACTATAAATGACAAATTCAGAAAATTTCTTTTGTTAGGATAGTTAACTCAAAAATTTAAATTCTGTTATCATTTGCTTATCCTCAAGTTGTTCCAAACCTATATGAATTTCTTTCTTTTGTTGAACATAAAATAAGAGATTTTGAAGAATATGGGTAACTAAATAGGCCTAGGACCCCAATGACTTCCATAGTATTTTTGACCCCAAATATCTTTTGGGAAAAAAAAAAAATCTTACATGTCCTCAGTCGCCACCAGAATGGCTCGGATTCCTGTATATCTAGTCTGGAAATGAGTCCCACAGAAGTACGAGATTCATAATGTTTTGGAAAAACTTGAGGGTGAGTAAATGATGACAGAATTTTCATTTTAGGGTGAACTATCCCTTTAAGAGCGATGAAAGAGGACTTAGGTTTCAAGCTTCAAAAAGGATGAAAAACAGCATAAAAATAAGTATACATATAGGATGTGTTTACACCTGGTCACTTCATGTAATTTTTCCTGATCAGATAGCTGTCTGATTTGTTAAAACTGTTCCAGAACACTTGGCTACATAAATGTGTCTCCGCAAACCGAATATATCCGATCTTCAATTCCCACACTATACGAATTTAACGGAGTTCACGTCAACGCAAGAAATGGATAACGTAGTTTTTTTTATTTACCATCTGCAAGATCAAAGACCACAATAGGAGAGAGAGCAGCATTAGCACTGGTAAGATCATTTAGTCTCACTACTTTTAATGAAGATTGTGTGTTGAGCGTCTGCGACTACTTTCAGTTTCATTTGCGGTAGTTTGCGCGTTGGCTTGCTGAAGAGATACGCAGCTACTCATCTGCGGCGATGCATTTTGCTGTAGTGCTTTCATATGTGGCTATAACATGCTCTTACACTTTTAAATTTTTTTGACATTTTGGGAGAAGTAAAATTTACACACGTGATTCCAACAATCAGATGCATTAACACTTGTCCAGTTTTGTTTTGGAATGCATTAGGCATGGGCGGTATCCAAATTTTCATACCGTCAAACCTCCTCCCTATTTTACCGGGGTATATGGTAGTACCGCGTGACTAATTAAAAATTACGAGATAAGGTTCAGACGGCATCACACATGATGACACGTTCAACCAGAGAGTGTCTGTTCCAATAATGCAACTAAAAGCTGTCAATCAACTATTAGAAAACAGGAGATGCACATTGTCTCACACCAGAGAATGTGAGCAGAGTGGTGATATTTCCTCTAGAGAGGGGAGCGCATTTCTGAAGATCACGCGCCGCGAGCTCTGTCCACTCGGCGCCGCGAGCCCTGAATGGCCGCAGTGACATGCTGGTTAGAAAATTTGGAAACAAACATTTAAATTATTTATTAATAAACTAGTGTTTTCTATGTCAGTTTCTGCAAAGATAAAGATTGCATTGACGATGCAAACTGGCATCTTCACGGTAGTGAACACGAATAAAGAGTAGCCTAATGCACACTTCATATGAATAAGCCTAAAGCAGAGAGCAGCCCATTTCTTTTAGCTTGTAACGTTAATTGTTTTGTTTAAAAGTAGACATTTCAAGCTTACTATATATAGATATATATATGAAGAGTTCAGATGCAAAAGCCTCTAAATGCCATTTGAAATTTTCTTCTTTAATGATGATTTTTATCAAACTTGTATATTTAAGTTCAATAATTTCACTTAAATAACAATTAATAGGTAATTATCATTGCCATTTAAGTGAAATTACTGAACTTAAATATACAAGTTTGATAAAAATCATCATTAAAGAAGAAAATTTCAAATGGCATTTAGAGGCTTTTGCATCTGAACTCTTCATATACACTTCTCAGATCATTAAGACATGTATCTTATATGGCGAGTTTCAGTTCATGTATGAATCGCGCTCCAGTCACGCGTCGGCGCGTGTCCTGATATACTATCTTTGCTTTTTATTTATTAATCCAGGCAATTCGTTGATGAAAAAAAAATTAAATTAAGATGCAATTTATTCAAAACGAAAATCGTTTTAAAGAAAGGCTTTCTACAAAACAAAACGTAATAAGTGTTCATAATCATGTCTGACTGACCCAACGTGTTTTCTATGTCAGTTGCTGCAAAGATAAAGATTGCATTGACGATGCAAACTAACATCTTCGCGGTAGTGAAAGCGAATAAAGAGTAATGCACACTTCATATGAATTAGCCTAAACATAAGCAGAGAGCAGCCCATTTCTTTTAGCTTGTTTGTTTTGTTTAAAAGTAGACATTTCAAGCTTACTATATATATATATATATATATATATATATATACACTTCTCAGATATTGTATCTTATATGCGAGGTATGAGTCGCGCTCCAGTCACGCGCCGGCGCGTGTCCTGATCACTATATTTGCTTTTTATTAATTAATCCAGGCAATTCGTTGATGAAAAAAATAAAATAAAATGAAGATGCAATTTATTCAAAACGAAATTCGTTTTAAAGAAAGGATTTCTACAAAACAAAACGAAATAAGTGGTCATCATGTCTGACTGACCCATTCCAAATGTTTTCTGATATTGGGCATTTTATGATCTTATCCTATTCATCTCATGAAGTTCCCTTTTCATAAAATCAATATACATGGAAAAACATCATATTATTAAAAAAAAATGAAAAGAATACGTTTTTTTTTTTTTTTTTCAAACCTATCTTATATTTAAGCGTTACACGGTCCGGACCGATGTAGACTACATGCATGTGTGCGTGCATGTGGTGGTAGGGCACAATTTTCAAATAATAATCGAATAATACCAGGCAATCTTTAAATATTATTTTTGCTTGAAATGCCCATCCCTGCCAAACTGCAGAAGTCGTGTACTTCTTAGAGACCAAGTCACTCGGTGCGCAACTTGCAATCTTTGCCCTCTCTCTCCCACTCTCTCTTCACCACACTGTCACATCATGAGAACCAGACATAAGCATTTTTAGCCATTAAATAAATTGTATTTAAAACATTGCACTTATATAGGACACAAGGATTCCTTGTCTCCTATTTAAGTGCATTGTTTTTTTTCTGACGGTATGACGATATTGAAACTGATACCGTTGCTATTTTTAGATCCCGCAGTATACCATATTACTGTAATACTGCCCAAGCCTAGAATGCGTTTTAAACTACCTCTTGAAGTGGTTTGAGTATTGGACTTAAATCTCGAAAGTGTTTCAGAGGGCATTTACACCTTGTCTTTTCACGATCTGATCTGAAAAAAATGCATGAAGTGACCAGGTGTAAACAGGCCCATAGTGTACAACAGTTGGGTTCTATTTTATTTTCATCATTGGGAAATTTAAACCATTAAAGACAGACCTGCTGTGAGCTTGTCAGTCGTTGGTATATGCTTTTATTAATACCATAAGCCTGCATTATTATTTTTTAATAATTGTGAAAAGTTGAAGTCTTTGTGGAAAAACAACATTACCCATGATTTTATATACATACTAGGGCTGTGCAAAAGTTAATTGCGATTAATCGCATCCAAAATAAAAGTCTGTTTTACATAATATATTTGAGTGTGCTGTATATAATTATTTTGTATATATAAATACCTATGCATGCATGTATATATTTAAGAATTGTTTGCGCTTAAATTCTGTATATATATATATATAAATACATAATCTATATTATATAAATATTTTATATAGGAATAACACATTTTCTTAAACATATACATGCATGTGTGTGTATTTATATATACAAAATAATTATATACAGCACACACAAATATACTATGTAAACACAGACTTTTATTTTGGATGCGATTAATCGCAATTAACTTTTGCACAGCCCTAATACATACATATATATAATGTGTGTGTGTGTGTGTGTATATATTTAGTCAACATTTTTAAATCAATAGTTTTATATCTCCATTACAAATGCATTGCGAATGTTGTTATTTTCCTCATTAAAGCAGTTAAGTACCTTTGGCTTAAAAGTCTTGTCAGAAGAAAGTAATTCAGGTTTGGAATAACATGGGTGGATGACAGAATTTTAATTTTTATGTGAAAACTGTGAACTGAACTCCTTGTGTTGTCATATGGATTCTCAGAAAACCCTACATGTGTTGTCTGTGCCTGACTGAAGTTTAAAATTGTGTAATGTGTATGAGAGAGTTATGTTGTGTAGTTGCATATCTTGAATTACAAATAAATGCCCATCTATCTCTCTTTATAGACTTGCCTAATGATATCTCACCTCTACTCCCCTGAATACATCTTTGATTCCAGTGTGAACTGTGAAAAAAAGTAAGGTAGTAATTGCGCAATGTATAAATGTACTTTGATCCCTTAGGTAAAAAAAAAAAAAAATAAAACAAATAGACCGCCACCTTACATCATTAAATCTATTCGGTTTCAGAACGGCGAATGAATGGCAATAGGTGAAATATAATGTGACATGGAGCAGAGACAGTATTCACCTTTCAATAATGTCACGGAGTAACAATCTGTTGAAGGTGAAACTAGTGGAGAGGCATAAAAATGTACACTATCATTCAAAAGTTTGGGGGCGCTAAATAATAAAAAAAAATGTTTGTGAAAGAAGTGCCTTATACTAAGGGTGCAATTATTTGATTTAAAAAATAAGGTAAAATAGTAATATTGTGAGATTATTACAATTCAAATGAAATGTTTTCTATTTTAATATATTTTAAAGAATAATTTATTCCTGCGATAGCAAAACTAAAATTACAGCAGCTTTTACTATTCTTCAGTGTCACGTGATCCTTCTGAAATCATCAAAATATGCTAAATTTGTAATCCATTTTAAAAACAATAGTGCTGCTTAATATTTTTCAGGAAACCATAACACTTTAAATCCAGCATTCTTGAATAGAATGCTTAAAAAAAATTAAATATGGTTTGTAACATTATAACTGTCTTTACTGTCACTTTTGAACATTTTAATGGATCTGTGCTGAATAAAATGACTAATTTCTGACCCCAATTCGACCCAAAGTTTATTGATATGAATACTGTCTCTCTCTACCCAGTCTTGTGATGATCTCTAAAACCGTTGGTTTGTGCATGCCCTTTTTAGTTATATCTCTTTATCTTAAAGGGGTCATGAACTGCATTTTTTTAAGTTTATTTTTTAACTCTGATTTTTACCACAAAAATCATCATAATTTAGAAATAAAAGGCCATTTCTACCCTTATTTTAGTCCTCTGATTTGAAAGCTCTGTTTTAAGGGGCATGTCTGCTGTGAGACTTCAGTGTAAACACCCACTACTGTGATTGGCTAACATCTTTGCATATGAAAAGCATAAAGCATTTAATTAGCATTAAATTTAGATCTATTCCCATCACATGAAAGGGTGCAGCGATAAGCGTTGTAGCCAACATGTCTGTTGAGTCCATGAATGCTGTGATCTTGTCATCGCAGCTCAATTTTTGCACACTCATGAATGCTTTTATCATAACTAACAGTTCAAACATGATGTAAATAAGAGTCCAGAACTGATTATTAACAGAACTTAAAATTAACATCGTTACTTACTGTTCATGTTGTGGCATTACTAGCTGCGTTTCCATTAGCCTTCAAAGTGCACTAATTGAAAATGAGCCCAATCGAAAAACGTAAATCTATACATTTTATAAATTTATTTATATAGGAGTTGCATGAGGTGTTTTTTCAGGCAGTTTGAAAAAGGAATATTTCACAAAACTGCAATGGAAATGGCCACATTTTATCAAGACCTTGGGTCGTTCCCAAGTATAAGGGGCTTTCCTTGCCATTAATGCTTGGATATTCACCTTTGGCTAAGCCACGCTCTAGAATGTAGATTGACCAATCACAGCGCAGCCAAGAACGAGCTCCCACAGAGGTCGGACACTTTTTTTTACAGCGCTTCATTGACTTTCAACACAGCCGTCTCATATTTTTGGTCTCGGCAGGCTATTACCGTCGTAGTTTTATCCAAAATATGGTTAAACGTTGTGCCTCGGGCATTTGTAACACAGATACGCATTTCCCAGAGAGGTTGGAGGGGGGTGTCCGTTTTTTCCCTTCCCAAAACCGAAGTAAAATCCTGGGAAGTGTCGTCTTTGTATTAAACTGAATGGACGTCCTCAGTCAGCTAAACCCCGCAAAGATCAACAAGCACATCTTTTTTTACTTCTAACCTTACTGTGAGTGTGAAGTTATACTAGTTGGACCGTTTTATAATGTTTTAGGTTATGATTTCGGTTCTCATACCGGTTGTTAATAAATACAACGTTATACTCGTGTAGTCCGTTTGCTTTGTAATAACGATTATAGAAGTGAATAGAGACCTACCCAGCTTTGCATGAACAGTGTTGCTCCCTGATATTGTTAGTCCCAGCCTCCGTCTCGATTAGTAGGAAATGCGGTGGTTCATGTTTTGACTGTTACCGGTAACGTTATGCTTTTGCCTCTATTTTGGATGCCTTGTTGTTTCTTGCGTTTCACCTGTATGTCTTGAATAAAGCCTTCGAACGCATATTGCAGCCCCTTTTGCCTACTTCTACCGGACACTTTATTTGCTGCTTTTAGTGCTTTATAAAAGTTTGATAACATTTCAGCAGGAAGAGCTGTTACAGCATAAGCCATGCAGAGTGCAGATGAAGTTTGACGGATGTAGCAACAGTAACTAAGGGAGGCGGGGCTTAGCCAAAGGTGAATTACGCCTACGTCTCCTTCGATTAAAAATAATGGCTGGTTCGGTGACTGAGATATATGTAAACCTACCAACACCCATTACCATAATGTTTGGAATGACTTATCGCGAGATTACATTGGTTAATGGAAACGGCATCATTTGGAATAGTTTTTTTATTGACATTTAGAAAATATTACAAAAGTTTTGCGCAAATCTGTAATGGAAACGTGGCTATTGTTGGATCCATATCTTACAATAAAAGTCTGTTTGCAAAGCTGCACTGAATGAGGAAGTTTTGAGCTCTGAAACTTACATGATGTTTTAATAGTACGATGACATCTTGCATATCAAAAAGTCAAGGAAAATTTGATTTCTCAATTCATGACTCCTTTAAAACTGTATCGCCAATATTCATTTCTATCATTGAAAATAAATAGAAATATATATATTTTTAATGTTTTTCTAATTAACAAAAAACCAAGTGCCTGTCATAGCTGTCAAAATGCTGGAAAAAAAACCCTGAAAGTCTTTTGATGAGGTTTTAAGTTGTATCTTTTTGGATGACTTTGATGCGGTGTCTTTTACAAGGCGATATGACTAAGCCGTGTAAATCCCTGTCTGCTTCAGGACAAGCTGTGAGACAGAGATGGCATCGAGCTCTCACAGTCCAACTGCGCTAACTGGGGAAGATCACATGGACTGACAGCCTCGACTCTGGAATGCCCTTTAGCATCTTTATAGCATAACAACAGCAAGACTTAGGCTTAAAAGTGCAGGGTACCCATACTGCGGCCCTGACATGTCAAAACTTTGAACTCAAACTGATCATTTTCAAAAGTTGAAGACTATCCCCGCTAACATCTTTTTTTAAGAACAGACCATTTGATCATAATCAGTTTGCTCACGCTTTTCTCCAAAGTGATAAAATGAGGAAAATCAAGCAATTTATCATGAAAGAGCCAACATTAGTAGCATTTCTGTCTTCTCTCTTATCCCCCTCCCCTCTTCACTTCCAATGTTTCCTCTCCATTCTCATGTTGTTCTTTTATCAATCCTGTTCAGGGTGAAAGCAAGTCCTCGAGCGCCAATGGTCATAATGAGGAACGTAGCAAAAAGTAAGCAAAAACCCTCTGTGGTCTGTTCATTCTTCTTGATGTTAATCTTTTCATGTGAAATGTACAATGAGAATGAATGAAATTGTGTTTTTTTTCCCCCCAGTAGGAAAAGACGCAGCAACAGTCGTAGTCCGAGTCCAGGCCAGCAGAGGAGTAGAAGCGGGGGGCGCAAGAAGAGCCGAGAACGACGCAAGAGCCGCAGCCGCGAGCGAAGACGTTCACGGAGCAAAGAGCGCAAACGTTCGCGATCCCGCAGCAAGGAACGTGGTGGCCGTTTCCGTGGACGCAAAAGCCCCTTGTGAGTTTAGCCCCTGATCATTAATTTAAGAGGTTCTATCTTATTTTTTCTTTAGGATGTGAACACGGAACAATGTGATCTCTGATTCACACACATGAACCGTACTTGGGTCTGCCTTAAAAGGGTTGGTTTGCTGCGGCTATAAATGCAATCATAGGGGCTGCAATCGTATTAAATCACTGAAGTAAACCACTTTTAATGATGTATGTATATAACTGTGTGTTTGTGAGTGCTTTCAATCACGTTTCTGATAAGCGTGTTTGAAGGACTCCAAACAGAGCGAATCTGTATCTTATTTCTGCTTGAGCAGAAATGGTCTTCCGCATTCTTTTGAACATTTGTTGTACATGGCAGATAAAAGCCATTATGTGTTGACTCTTTAGAAACAAAACCAAAAGTTAAAAGAAATAATTACAACAAAAGTGATACAAGCAACTCTTATCAATTTTGGTACCTTCTCCTTCATAGCCGTTACCTAGTAACATGGGCAAACGGCTATAGTTTCATGATGTAAGTGTGAATAATGTGAACTGAGACCAGTGGGTGAAGGACAGGGGAGCAATTGAACTCTGGTTCAGACCAAAATCAAATGAAATGTGACAGCACCCTCATTGACCAAGGTTCAAGAAGTATTCCCCCCCAACCCCCCAAGACCCCCCCCCCCCAAAAAAAAAAATATAGTAATATACACTCACCTAAAGGATTATTAGGAACACCTGTTCAATTTATCAATAATGGAATTATCTAATCAACCAATCACATGGCAGTTGCTTCAATGCATTTAGGGGTGTGGTCCTGGTCAAGACAATCTCCTGAACTCCAAACTGAATGTCAGAATGGGAAAGAAAGGTGATTTTAAGCCATTTTAAACTTGGAAAGGTTGTTGGTGCCAGACGGGCCGGTCTGAGTATTTCTCAATCTGCTCAGTTACTGGGATTTTCACGCACAGCCATTTCTATGGTTTACAAAGATTGGTGTGAAAAGGGAAAAACATCCAGTGTGCGGCAGTCCTGTTGGCTAAAATGCTTTGTTGATGCTAGAGGTCAGAGGAGAATGGGCTAGGCTTGGGCGGTATTACGGTAATATCGTATACCGTGGGATCTAAAAATAGCAACGGTATCAGTTTCAATATCGTCATACCGTCAGAAAAAAAAACCGATGCACTTAAATAGGAGACAAGGAATCCTTGTCTTCTATATAAATGCAATGTTTTAAATACAATTCATTTAATGGCTAAAATGCTTATATCTGGTTCTCATGACGTGACCGTGTGGTGACGAGAGAGTGGGGGAGAGAGGGCAGTGACTCGAAGAAGAACACGACTTCTGCAGTTTGGCAGGGATGGGCATTTCAAGCAAAAATAATATTTAAAGATTGCCTGGTATTATTCGATTATTATTTGAAAATTGTGCCCCACCACCACATGCACGCACACATGCATGTAGTCTACAGCGGGCCAGACCGTGTGACGCTTAAATATAAGCTAGGTTTGAAAAAAAAAAAAACGTATTCCTTTCATATTTCTTTAATAATATGATGTTTTTCTATGTATGTTGATTTTATGAAAAGGGAACTTCATGAGATGAATAAGATAAGATCATAAAATGCGCAATATCGGAAAACATTTGGAATGGGTCAGTCAGACATGATTATGACCACTTATTACGTTTTGTTTTGTAGAAATCCTTTCTTTAAAACGAATTTCGTTTTGAATAAATTGCATCTTCATTTTAATTTTTTTTCATCAACGAATTGCCTGGATTAATAAAAAGCAAATATAGTGATCAGGACACGCGCCAGCGCGTGACTGGAGCGCGACTCATACATGAACTGAACCTTGCATATAAGAAACAAGATCTGAGAAGTGTATATATATAGTAAGCTTGAAATGTCTACTTTTAAACAAAACAAACAATCTAAAAGAAATGGGCTTCTCTCTGCTTATGTTATAGGCTAATTCATATGAAGTGTGCATTACTCTTTATTCGCGTTCACTACCGCGAAGATGCTAGTTTGCGTCGTCAATGCAATCTTTATCTTTGCAGCAACTGACATAGAAAACATTTTGGGTCAGTCAGACATGATTATGACCACTTATTACGTTTTGTTTTGTACAAAGCCTTTTTTTAAAACGAATTTCGTTGTGAATAAATTGCAACTTCATTTATTTATTTTTTTCATCAACGAATTGCCTGGATTAATAAATAAAAAGCAAAGATAGTAATCAGGACACGCGCCGACGCGTGACTGGAGCACGATTCATGAACTGAAAAAGATACATGTCTTAATGATCTGAGAAGTGTATATATATATAGTAAGCTTGAAATGTCTATACTTTTAAACAAAACAATTACAAGCTGAAAGAAATGGGCTGCTCTCTGCTATAGGCTTATTCATATGAAGTGTGCATTAGGCTACTCTTTATTCGTGTTCACTACCGTGAAGATGCCAGTTTGCATCGTCAATGCAATCTTTATCTCTGCAGCAACTGACATAGAAAACACTAGTTTATTAATAAATAATTTTATTTCGGCTCGCGGCGTCGAGTGGACAGAGCTCGTGGCGCGTGATCTCCATAAATGTGCTCCCCTCTCTTGAGGAAATATCATCACTCTGCTGTTTTACTCCTGTTTTCTAATAGTTGATTGACAGCTTTTAGGTGCATTATTGGAACCGACACTCTCTGGTTGAACGTGTCATCATGTGTGATGCCATCTGAACCTTATCTCGTAATTTTTAATTAGTCACGCGGTAATACTGTATACCGCGGTAAAATAGGGAGGAGGTTTGACGGTGTGAAAATTTGGATACCGCCCATGCCTAGAATGGGCCGACTGATTCAAGCTGATAGAAGAGCAACTTTGACTTAAACAACCACTCGTTACAACCAAAGTATGCAGCAAAGCATTTGTGAAGCCACAACATGCACAACCTTGAGGTGGATGGACTACAACAGCTGAAGACCCAACCCGGGTACCACTAATCTCCACTACAAATAGGAAAAAGAGGCTACAATTTGCAAGATTTCACCAAAATTGGACAGTTGAAGACTGGAAAAATGTTGCTTGGTCTGATGAGTCTCAATTACTTTTGAGACATTCATATGGTAGAGTCAGAATTTGGCGTAAACAGAATGAGAATGTGGATCCATCATGCCTTGTTACCACTGTGCAGGCTGGTGGTGTAGTGGTGTGGGGCCCCTTTACACTTTAGGCCCCTTAGTGCTATCTGGGCATTGTTTAAATGCCACGGCCTACCCGAGCATTGTTTCTGACCATGTCCATCCCTTTTATGGCCAACATGTACCCATCCTCTAATGGCTACTTCCGGCAGAATAATGCACCATGTCACAAATCTTGAATCATTTCAAATTGGTTTCTTGAACATGACAACGAGTTCACTGTACTAAAATGGCCCCCACAGTCACCAGATCTCAAATCAATAGAGCATCTTTGGGATGTGGTGGAATGGGAGCTTCGTGCCCTGGATGTGCATCCCAGAAATGCCATCCTATCTATATGGGCCATCATTTCTAAAGAATGCTTTCAGCACCTTGTTGAATCAATGCTACGTAGAATTGAGGCAGTTCTGAAGGCGAAAGGGGGTCAAACATAGGATTAGTATGGTGTTCCTAATAATCTTTTAGGTGAGTATATATTGCTTTTAAAGAGTAATGAAACCCCAAAAACAATTTTTTGAGATATGTATAGACTGCACATCACTGAAAACACTAAAGGTGCAGCAGAGAATTCAAACAACATACAAATGAACTTAAGAACGGTTTGTGCGTGGAATGCCGTGATGAGTTTAACAACGCTCGCAACGCGGCTCATATACAAACAGGAGTAAACATGTTTCAACTTTTTATGGACACGTTTCATATAGGTGAAACTCAAAAAATAGAATATCGTGAACTACAAGGTGAAACTATTATATAGACTCACTCATTACATGCAAAGTGAGATTATTTCAAGCCTTTATTTGGTATAATTTTGGTGATTGGGGTTTTCATAAGCTATAAGCCATAAATTTAAAATTAGAATATTGTGAAGGTTTTTGCACTTTTGCTCTATTAAAATTTTTCGAGTTTCACCTGTATATACTCTAGTGCTCTAAAAATGAACCTGCACCGTGTATGCGCATATATTTAATCACGTCAAATAAAATATATGTACAAATAAAGACACCGATACAGCCGTACGTCTAATCATGAACACAATGGATTATTCTAGAGATGCACCGATTACGGTTTTCTAGTCCGATCCCGATTTCTGATTTTTCCTTTGTTTGACCTGCCGATACCGATTTTAGCCGATTCTGATTTCATTTTTTTCAAACCGCTTTAAAGCACACACAACAATGTATTTTCTATCTTCTCTTTAATAGAACAATTTGCATAGAACATTTTGAACAGATAATTGCTATAAAACAGAACTATATAAATTACTCCTGGTGTGGGAAATTCACACACATCTAAAGTGCAGTGTTATGGAAGAACCATTTCCTTTTCACATCCAATAACCAAAAAGGGAAACGATTGGGAAATAATGAAAACAAGTTTAAATGTAAATTTTTTTATAAATATTTTAAAGTCTTCATTTTCTTTTCTGACATAGGCTATACTACTTCAGTTCTTGTTAAACACACCAGACATGCACATTTTTGGATGAAATCACATTTAATTTGTCCATCAAAAGTGTGCTTTCACTGAGCGCAGCAATAACCAGACTGGGCACCAAAAACCGCGCTTCACTGCTGCTCACGGGACGCTCCTGCTCGACACTCGCGCGCAGCTCCTGCTCCTGGTGTGAATGCACTCATTGATTAACATGCTTATGCGACGCTTACGTGCTGCTCCGGCTACCAGTGTGGATTAACGTACACGCCAAAAAAAAAAAAAAAAAAAAAAACCGCACTGCTCCTTAGTTCACGAGGTTTACTACATGTGCGTTCCATGTGCAGTTTGTGCATGAGAGATACTGATGCGCAACGTTAATCATGCGGCGCCCGAGTGCATTTGACCGGCATAAAATCGGCAAATGCCAGACTGACCAGCCAATCGCCGATCACGTGAAAATCGTCCGATTCCGATCACCAGTCGATCAATTGGTGCATCTCTCTGATGCACGGAGGAAAATGATGTCCATTCTCTTTCAAAGAATAATGGACAAAAATAGTAACTATCCCTTCATGTTTTCAGTGTTAAACTGACGCGTCTCGTTTGTTCAGAGACAGTAGTGCTCGTAAATGTAACAAAAATATTATTTGAGCTTTTAAACGTTCTTTCGCATTTCTTGGGAGCTTGTTGTCATAGGGTTACATTTTTTTTAAATGCATCAAGGTGCCCTCAATTGTTTTATTATTGTTTTTGTTTTGTTTTTCTCTGCGGTCATATTTTGTGTGTTTTATAATAAGTGTATGGTGTGTGGTTTTATTGATGTTTGTGTTCCACTTTTCCACAGCTTTACACACCCATTTTTTGAGACTTTTTCAACTCAAAGGTGTGAACAACTAGACTAAAAAAAACAGGGATTTCATGACACTTTTAAAGAGCAACCCGTAATTGACCACTTCTTCGGTGAACAGGGTTCCTTAACTCTTTTTCTTAACATATTTTCTTCTAAAGTATGGGGGGGTAATATGATAATATTGACAAATACATATATAAAATATTGAAAATATGATATAATTTTACTGATCGCTCTGGTCTTATGGCATGGTTCTTGTTTACATGGTAACAGCAATGTCTTCTCTGATTGGTGGATTTAAGGAGGATCTCCTTTCAGGATTATGGATAGTGTAGTTCTCTAGTGTAGTAATTTAGCTATTTAATATTATTTGTTTTAAAGAATATAAAACTTTCTCTCTCTGCTCACACTTGTCTTCTACTAAAACCAATATAATCACATATCAACCTTACAGCTCATGTTAGGTCTGATTTGGGTTGTCATTATAAAGAACATCTTCTGTGAAATGACTTTACCTCTAACCAATAGTTTTTCCTTGGCTAAAACAGCATTTGGTTTTCAATGTATACTTGCCCCCTTGCACCAGTATGTAGTAGCCTTCGCATGGTCACAGTGGCTGAAAGTTGACTAGTTTAACACTGAGACAAACCCTTGTTTTATATGTCATAGTATGGGGCCGAAATTAAATGGTGGTCCCGGAGGGAAGACCGGCCCACAACATTTCACCAAACACAGGTGATCTCATCTGTGACTCTGGTTGCCTGTTGTGTGCTGAATGTTAGTGTTTGTCTTGAGTAATGATACACAGATGGGTAATAAACACAGACTGATGGAGTATTCCGATTCTAGTCGCAGGAGCCCGTTTAAGAAGGACCGAAGCCCATTTAAGAAGGACAGAAGCCCGTTTAAGAAGGACAGAAGCCCTTTTAAGAAGGACAAAAGCCCCGTCAGGTGAGACACTCATCACTGTCTGATGTAGTATTGAAGTCTTTCCACTAGTTATTCCATTGCTATGCTATTTTAAATTACGCTAGATAAGGCAGAGCATAATCAGCCATCTTGGTGTACTTAAAATGAAAAGAACTGAACTGGTAGATACAGTTATTTTTAAAGTGTCCCTATGTTTTTTTTGAGTATTCCATTTCATGCAGTGTCTAATATAGCTGTTTGTGAATGTAAGTGTTCTGCAAAGTTGTAAAGTCGAAAGTGCAGGATAAACAAAGTTATTGTCTCCCAAAAGAAAGAATTTTACCCTGAATCGCCTTTGAGTCGGTTTTAATTAGAATCCTACTGCTTTACGGTTCTGTCACTAGAAGATACATTTGCATTAATGCCCGCCAATGTTGTATGCCCGCAAACAACTTGACCCGCCCTCAAATGTCATTTCACTGAAGACTGCTTCTCAAATCTCGGAGTTCAACGTGGGATTCTCAAAAAAGATGGGTCTGTACCCAATTTATTTGGACTAACTTGCCCCTCAGAATCACAACTTGTAAGTATGAATAATTATTGATGTATATATTTTCTATTGGGTGTTCAAAATACTTAGTTTTGTGTTGTATTTTGTGTAAATTTATGGCTAACCAGTTAATATTTATTACGGTGTTACTGAAATACTTCTGCTAATCAGCTGTGAGCCACTATTACCTAAAAGTGTGTCTATTAATGCAGATTCTCTGTCATTCTTACTACTTTGAGTAACGATAAAGGATAGAGCAAGATTTGTTTTACAAATGTTGTTAAATAAGTCATTCAGTGCATACACCGTTATTGATCCCGCATGTGCACTGCAATAAATTACAAATATGCGCATTGATTACTATTAGATTGACATACACTTGTTAATGCTGATGGTGAGGAATTAAAGTTGCAACATCTCAAAATGTACGTCAAACTGAGTAGTGTATCACTGGGGAACGTCCAGCTCAAATCCTCCTTGTGGTGGAGGTTCGGGTTGAATTCCAATGTTTCATGTTCCAATGTTTCATCATCGGACTTGAGCTCAGATTGATATGGTAAAATCGTGACTTTCATCGTTGCGGGCTTTACAGTGTGTACAATCTCTGAGGTTTAGGAAGCCTCCCGACAGAGATGACGTTCAACTTTAAAAGGTTATTTTTTCACCTTCTTTCTCACAGTAATACTGTACGTCAAGTCGACAGCTCTTTGTAATCTTGCTATAAGCTCTAGATTGTTTCATTGTTTAAATGTATTAATGTTGTTCAAAATAGGCAAATCAATAAAAAAATATAGCTGCGAGCAGCGATGGCGGGCCCAAGCCGGAGGCACCGCAACCCCGGTTCCTTTAGTTACCTAAAGGCACCCGGGTGGCGGTGCCGAAGGCTTTGGCCCTTTCATGATTAAATGTTAAAGCGGCTTGCCATACTCTGTCATTTCGACTAGTCACAATTATGTTACAGATATCTCAAATGATAATACAAACTATCCAAAGTGTAACGACTAGACAGAAAGACGTTGTTGATATCTACAATGTTAATTCCGGACAGGCAAACTTAGCTTTTAAATGTTAAAAGGGCTTGCCATACAGGGACGTAGGCTCAGAGAGAGGCTCACCATATTCAGACCAAAATATCTGACTTCCTCTTGGTCCGAGCTAATGACTATGTATTAGAAAGTTGTACGGCTTGAGGAGTACAATGTATATACCGATTTTTGTAACTGTAGATAAAACTAACAACCAATGTAGTAGCACTTCTCTTTTTTTGATTGGCTGATGCGTAGCAGGGTCGACTGCTGAACTCCAGGCGAGACGCGCTTGATTCTCACGTGAGAGCGGCGCGGCCAGAGAAATTGCGTATATTAAATATATTATTAATAGTTTTTCCGCATGAGAAATACAATGTGTGACGGGAGTGTGAGACAAAAGACTGAAACGAGTGACTGTCATGCTCAATGCGTGACACACTATAAAAAAATATTTCACACTGACTCCACATTTAGGGGGCCACAAGGGGGTCCAAGCTTGTTGTCGCAGGGGCACTGGCCCCCCCAGGCCCCCGCCTAGAACCGCCATTGCTCACACACACACACACACACACACTTTCTCTCTCTCTCAAGAAGCAAAAACATGACTGCTAAAGGTTGTATCAGCGATGGCGGGGTAACATCACTTAACATCACGAGTGCTATTCCCTTAGGCCACGCCCCCTTGTCTCCCCAAAGTATTATAAGCAATCATGCGCATCCCGTGTGCAGAATGATGCACTTGAAGCAACACCAAGTCACAGCACGCAACGCTTCACATTGAAAAGAACATAGCGAAGGATGGTATCTATAATCTATGCTTAGTAGGGCTGCACGATTTGGGAAAATGTCATATTGCCATTATTGAGCCAATATTGCAATTGCGATTTGCGACTCCGATATAATAAAATGGTTTCATGAGTCCAACTTGCTTGGTTCTAAAGTAAAATGCACACACAGATTAATGTTTATTTCTCAACTCAAACTAAAAACAACAACAACAATAAATGATTGATAACACCTATAATGATCAATAAACCATCAACCAAACCAACATTACAGTGATTCCATCAATTGAAAGCCATCAACTTTTTAAAAAATTATTACGCTTAAAAAAAATATATAACAGCTTTTAAATTAAGTGAACTTCAAACAATCCCCACATAAACCCATAATAAAAAACATATTTACCTGTGCCCTTCCTGTCTTAACAGGTACAGAAATTGAATAAAGTTATCAAACAGTCTGCGCTGCCTGAATCATAAATTATATATATAATAATCCTTATTAAAGCTACAAAAGTTCTTTACTCAAGATCAGTGAGTAATTTTCTAATTTCCCTTTGTTCTTTTAACTTTACTGAAAGAACGCTTTATTCGCTGCTGGCCCTTTAAGAGCACCCGTTGCCGAGACGCGGATCTCACACGCGCCTCATAGCACAACTCTTTTCATCCATAGACTTTTCTTATGTTATGAAGATACTAGACAAAATCACATTTTGGCATAATTGTGTGCTATTGTTCGTTCAAGCTCGAAAGAGAACTGTTTATTCTGGGCTGGCACACGGTCAGTGCATGCGCATTATGCGAGTCTCATCTATTCTAATCTAGGGCACTCACAGGCAGCTTTTCACTTCTTGTCGTGCAAAATGCGAAAAGGCATTTGAACCAATAAGAGGGGGATCTTGTAACACTAGTCAAAGGATGACAAAAAAGAAGAGATGCTGCGCTAATAGCCCTACTTTGTTTATTTCATATAAAATCGCGGCATTTTGCGTTATATAATTGCATAGGTTTGAGATCGCTATTACGACTGCGATATAATTAATCGTGCAGCACTAATGCTTAGTGTATTCTAAAGGGCAATAAACTCCACTCCAGCAAGATAGTCATTTTATGCAAATCATAGACCTTTATGCCTTATCTACAAATAAAGTATAATATTGGGAACATTGATCTTGAAGAGAGTGTCGTCGTGTTACTGTCGCAACCGAACGCGACGCGCTAATGCTGATGCATGGAGAATGTCGGACGTCACTTATAGGCTAAACTGTTTTTATAGATAAAACTATTTACATTCGGCAGTTATGAAAACAAATCTCAGATAACGGTTGACTAGGTAACAATGTGAAATTTTGCGCCGGAGTTCTCCTTTAACTTACATTAGCTAGCTAACTACGAACGAGCTAACCAGATAACATTAACAAATTGACAAGCACTTACTGGGCAGAATATGGCTCTTCAAATGACGGACGAAATTGGAGGTTGTCATCTGACTGTCCGCGATCTTAACGTTGCATGTCTTGCAAAGCGCTGTTCTTTTGCCATCTTGTTGTAAGAAATTCTTGAATCCAAAAGCGACGACGACCCTCGTTATCCCTCCGGCTGACATGTTGATGTGATCTGATGTAAGTGGGCGTGGTGTGCGCGTAAGGTATGAGAGGGCATGACTGAAGATCTCTGATCCAGTCATGACAGCGCTATTCTCAGCCTGCGCTCCAGCTGGATCAACTTTATTTTTTTTACATAATTTATATATTTTATATTCAAACTGAAAACATGATGTGATTAACACTCAAGTCATATTATTACATGCAAGTGTGTTTGATTTATGGACCAAATTTTCAGATCAAGTTTATGGACCAAGTTAATTTAATTAATAAACTAATTATATAAAACTATTAATGCACTACAATTAAACTGGTTATATGCCTTTACTTATAAAAAATAAAAAACTTATTTAAAAAAATACCAGGCTTAAGGCATTTATTTTTTATGCAGGCCATACACACAGGAGTGAAATGGTTAAGACCCCTCCCCCTACAAACACACACACATACACAGACAGGCAAAGACAGAGATGTAGGCTCAGATTAAGCAAGACCACATTCAAACAAACATATCTGACTTTCTGTGGGTCCTAGCTAATGAGTGTCAATTAGAAAGTTGTCCGGCTCGAGGAGTACAATATACATACCGATTTTTGTAACTGTAGATAAAACTAACAACCCTACTTTTGTCAAAAGGTGGCGCTACTGAGCCCTCACCACGCCCGTTTCTGAAACATTGCACGTGTCTACTGGCTAATAAATGTGATGTGTCTGTCGAGTTTCATGCATTTTGAAGCATGCTAAGGGTCTCAAAAGCATCCTAAAAGCATCCTAAAAGAAGGGTAAAGTTTGATGCGTCGCCACGGCAACAGTTTCAAAGATATCAAGAATCCATTCACAGGTCTACATCTGCCGTATGTTTACATTATACATATGAAGTTTGAAGCAAATCGGGTAAAAATAAAAGGGTGATATCAAAGCATTTTGAAAGTGACACACTTCCTGCTGCCAGTTGGTGGCGCTATAACTTTGACTCACAATAGTCACATCCATGTGATCGTCCTCTTACAGCGAACATACTGCTGAAGTTTCATCAAGATCAGTTAATGTATGCTGAAGTTATAACAAACTTCCTGTT